TAGGGAATGGCAAAGGACACACTGACAAAGGAGATTAAACAGAACTGGCTTTGACAAGCACTGTGGCAATTGGACAATTAAAACAGACATTCGGAGGGCAGGGGAAGAAGAACAAACTGGGGAAGAGGTTAGAGAGAATGGTGCAGCAATGAAGGAATGAAAACCCAAAATCCCTGTAAATGCTCATTAATACTAATAAAATTTAATAATAAAAAAAAAGAAAGTTGGATTTTGTATCCAGTACATTAGCACTTGCTGGTCTCCAGCTACCTTTACTGAAGACACAGAGTCTTGTTAATCACCAACATCTGTGCAATAAGAGAGAAAGTTCTTTCCATACGGTAAAGCAAGATCCCAGTGATCCCTGTGACAATGGTGGTGGAGAGATTGTGGAAAGACTGGCATTGTTATGAACAGATTGTCGCAAGGTGTAATCAAGGCTTGCATTTGTACTGGCCACAGTTAAAGATTTTGCCTGCTAGATGATTGAAAGAGAAGCTGACTTATAACTATTCTGAGGCAAATCTTGCTGAATGATTGAGGAAATCAGAGGCTTCTTGAAATCATGTTCCTGAATTGAAACCATGACTTTTACTAAGGAAAACGTTGTGGTTTGCCATTAATATGGCTTGGGACTTCTGGACTAAACTTGGACTTGCATTGTGAGATATTCTTTGCCTCTCTCCCAACTCCCTAACTCATTTCCCTAATAAACCTCTTCTTGGAACCACAAGAGTAAAGTCTGTGAGTCAATAATCAATATTGAATCCAATGATTGATGGAAATAGGTGCAGGAGCATGTGGGTTGGAATGGGAATGTCTGACCTAGCTGCTATTGATTTGCTACTATGGATATTTTTAATGGGGAAAGTTCCCATTTATGAAGTGGACAGAAGACAGGCTCAGCCACCTTCACATTGCATCCTCTCTTTTTACAGATGAGTAAAGAAATACTAGAAGCACACAATTATTTCCAAAACTTTGCTAGCAAAGGCAAAAAGACAAAGAATCCATGGCTAATGAAAATTTAAAACTCAAAATCACAAAATGACTGTGCTTTCTAGTTTATCAGAGACTTGAAGAACTCTTGAGACTGTGGCCTTCAAGTCATTTTTTGAGCCTGGAACTAAATTCACCACTATGGCTTGACTTTCAGTTAAACAATAAATGAGATTTCAAAGTTAATTCATCCAAGGAGGTACTGATTCCATGGTGGGTTCTCATTTATCAGCTAGGTACTCATTCTGTGGAACAATCAACTGTAAAATATCTTAACCACCTCACTACCCAGAAACTCACAAGGCAGAGTGAGATAAGATAGAAAATAGAATGAAAACAATAATCAAGAAGGAAATAGGAAGAGTGTTGTTATAATGTGAGGATGCTGTAAGAATATGTGTAAACTGTTAAATGAAAATCAATTTGCTTTATAAAATTACATAAAAATTGTAATGAAAAAAGAAAAATATACAAAAAATCCTTGGAGATTATTTTAAAAAATAGGAGAGACTTGGAAAATATACATATTTAGTGGACTGAAAGTTATGCTACCAAGGCAAAAGTGAGTGATTTTAATCTGCGGCCCTCAGGCCTGGTTTTAATTGTTTTTGGTCATTCTCCTAAGTTGTACAGCACTGGTCTGTTCTTTTGCTGTACAGATGTAACTCATGGTTGCTGTGATGCTAAACCCTGTGACACTGCTATGTCATATATGATAATGGTTACCCATGGTGGACAGTGTTTGGTGGAACCTCCCAAATAAAACAAGCTTGGAAGCAGGAGTGCTATCCATTCTGTCATAGCTTGCCTCTGGAAACTCTATGAACTTGGAGAAATGACGAGTTATACAAGTGTTCAGGTCTTTCCTTTATAGGGTCGCTATGAGTCATCTATGACTCTACGACACTTACCAACAACAATATTGTAAAGATATGGTAGTCAAAGAGATTTTGGAAGTAGAAATGGGCCAAGAAGAAATGCCACAGAGAGTTCTTTTTCAAAAAGTAGTAGATTAAATACAGAGAATGAGGGCAATTTAGCTCTTGAAAGGATGTTGCGTTGTTAGGTGCTATA